CCACACAGGTCTGTACCAGGACACCAACACATTTAACCCTGGAGAACCCATGGGGTCAAATTTGACCCCATGGGTTCTCTAGTAAACCAATGGGGTCGGCTCTGTCCCCATGGGTTCTCCAGGGTTAAATGAACTCTACTCATAATCCTGCCAAGACTGTTCAAATATCCAGCCAGAATTATGCCAGAAGCTTGATGATAACTACCAATAGCCCCTTTCAGGGTGCACCTTCAACCAAATATTAGAGGGTGTATATATACACTTTTGCTCTTGCGGTTTACACACAAAAAAAAAACAACAACAAAAAAACCAAATTACTTACCCTTACTTGATAGAAGTCTGTGACTACAAATCAATATATATATTTTTTAAATGTTGTATAAGCAACTTAATATAACCCTTAGCAAAGGTAGGACTTATAGTTGCATTACACTACCCAGGTTTGCCAAGCAGCTAGATATAAACTCTGTGATCAATTACTCATTTGATGCAAACAAATCCTTTTACAATATTTATTAGAAAGTTAAAGTACATCTTGAAGGAAATTAAAACATGCTTTCCTGCACAAGCCCCAAACCCCTCGGCACAAACTATTCAAGAATATAAATGAGGCAGTCTAACAGTAGTATTTTGATGTCAACACCATCTGAGGCAGCAATCCAAAACAAAGCTGTGTCAATTTTGAAAAGTAAAGAAATCACAATTACCAAAAACAAAACACACTTCTAGAGAAGGCACTATACATAGATAAGGACATACATAAGGACTGTACATTTGGGGGAAAAAAGAAAAAAAAAAAAAGGGTATGCGAGAATAGACAAACAGCAAAAACTGATTAACCGAAGTCATTTTAAAGCAAAAGAAGTGAAAGATTTTCTGCATTTGCAGGTTCTCAGAATTTGTTGTTCATCTTTGTCATGCATGACATAATACTCTGAACCCTTTTCATGTATAAAGTTGCCAGTATAATGGCAGTTTGAAGCCCATGGCAGTGAAACCAAAAAAATATTGGGCCACAGTCTCTTGCGGAAGGAAAAAGACCCATCATAGGGCAGGCTCAGGATTTCTTGACAGGGCAGGTTGGAGGCAAGAGCCTGTGAGAGTTGGCACGCACCCACTGGTGGTCGATGACACTCTGTAGTGGGAGGCGATCGATGGGGTTGTGGCGAAGCAGCTTGGAGATCAAGTCTCGGGCACCATCAGAGACAACTTTAGGGAACTTCAAGTCCACCTGCAAATGGAAGATTTGATTCATGCATTTATCAGCAAAGGGGAATGCTGGGATTCTTAAAGTCTTAGCCAGCTCACAAACTGCCAGGTACAGTCGAGTTTGATAATCATTTCCTGATACATGAGATGTAATGTCAAGTTTGAAAAAACGATGCAAGATGTGTCATTTTAAGAATTTATAACCAGAAAATTAAACATATAGATAAAAGTATTTTTATGCATTTTCTAAAACTTGTGAAAGGAATAAGCAGTCAAATGTTGTGCCCTTCAGAGTCATCCACATCTGCCAGTCAGCTACTGTTCTTATGCACATTTCAGAAAATGCATAAGTTCAAAACAAGCGGAGCTTAAATTAAACCTTTGCTTGTGACTTTTTTTGTTCATAATAATTGTTAAGATCTGGGAACATTTGAGTGTCAAGAAAGTCCGCTCAGCGTAACACTTTAATCGGAGCTAAAACTCAAAATGTGTGTACTAAATCTGGTAAGCATAATGCTACAGAAGGTAAATTATCTTGTGTACTACATTACATTCCCAGAAGAAATAATGAAAAACCTACAAGAATTTTCCTTTTTTAGTATAAAGTAAGAGCTAAAGGGAAACAAGTGCTCGACTAGAGTGATACCTAAATGGCTTCTCTCACTACAGTAAAATCAGCTTCTTCTCTATGACTGAAACTTGTAACTTAATCATGAGATTTGACTGACCAAGTGCATTACACATGCAGATAAACACCAACCTTCATAATCCTTTTGTACGTTTCTGAGTGGCTTGCTGTTTCAAACGGTGGGTTGCCAACTAAACACTCGTAGCAGAGGACGCCAATGCACCACAAGTCCACCTTCTCACTATGGGTGTGTCCCTCAATCATCTCAGGAGGAAGGTAGTCCAGTGTCCCGCACATTGTGCGACGTCTGAGAAGGTTTAAAAAAGGTGAGCAGGGCAGGGTGAACAGGCATCGTAAAGAAAGTGAAGTAATGACAGTGTGGTTCCTCACCTTAGAGAAGGTGCATGGACTGACCAACCAAAATCAGCAATTTTCAGCTCTCCACGATAACCGAGAAGAAGATTCTCAGGCTTGATGTCACGATGAATTACTTTCTTCTCATGGCAATACATTAGTGCATCAGATATCTCCTCCATGTACTAGAATTTTAAAGAGGTTGGCATTAGGCTATAACTTCACTATTTTTGCAGTTCAGAGTAAAGAATTTTTTGTCACTACAATTCTGGTTGAGTTCTTACCGTGGCAGTACGCCGATCATCAAATCTGCCACATCTCTGAAGCTCTTTGTACATTTCACCACGTGGGGCGTATTCAAGCACTAAAAACACCCTCTTACGGTCATGGAAGTAATTGTAGAAGCGCAGGATGTTTGGATGCCTGAGGAAATGAAGCAGAAGAAATTTAAATCAGCATGCTAAATGCACCAAATATAAGCAGCCATTATATAGTATGCATTTATACAATATCAGCCTAATCTATAAGAGACAAATAAACCACTGAGAACACACCATTTCTTTGTATATCTTGTCCCCAGAGGCATTATACATGTAAATCATTGGTTAACAGACATTAACTACATTTCTCAGTGTATAGCAATGGCACAGTTAAAGATTTTTTTTGAAATTACCCAAATTATTGAAATGTTTAGATATAGAAGTACACAGCTCTCAGCATTGTTCGACCATTTGAATGTCCCTGCAGGAGACAGTGGAGGGTAGCACATAGCCTGCCAAACGTGTGTGAATTATAGGACTGTTGTTATAATCGCCCTAAAACGGGACAGTCCTACAACGGGTTATTTTGTACATTTCAATGAATGTATCACCACACTTATTATTTGAACACATATTGTGTAACAAATTAAACTTGTGTTTGTAAACTCAGTGTGCCTAAGATGACAAAAGGGAGTAGAGCCAAAAAAAAAACAAAGAAGCAGGATACTAACTTGAGATGGGCCTGAATCTCAATCTCTCTCCTGAGTTGATGCTCCACACCTTCTTTCTCCATCTGAGACTTGAACAACACCTTCAGTGCCACAATTGCTTGGAGTTTCTTCACTCTCGCAAGATAGACATTTCCAAATTTTCCCTTTCCAAGTGGCCGACCAATGTCAAAGTCATCAATGGAAATTTTCCTGAAATAAAAACAAATAAAAGTTCTTTTAAATATTCAGGACAAAGACAACACATCAGGAATATAGAACTAGCCACTTACTTTGAAGCTGAGCTGGAGGACGAGCCAATGCATTCTCTCGCAGGACCTAAAAATAACACCACAATTAAAACTTAGCAATTAAAAATTTCCTGAGGGGTCTCAATCAGTTATCAGAAAATACGGTATCATAGGTTTGTGTTTTGCGATTAGTTTTTAAATTTCATTTTTACTTTGTTTCAAATTCAATTTCAGTCAGTTTCCAGAGTGGATATGAACACTTCAGTTTACCTTTTAATTTTCTGTCTTTTAATTTTAATTTAGTTATGTTTTCGTTTTTTCTCTAAATGTAGTTTTCCAGGTATATGGATTTTTTTAAACTTTAGTTTTCATTTCTATTTTAATCAGTTTCCCCCCCAATATCCAGTTTTAGTTTAGTTAACTACAATAACCTTGGTCTTATCAGCATCTGCACAGAAGGAAAGACTTACCTGTGACAGTATTTTTCATTGTGTCTGCTCGTTGCTTCACCACAACTCGCTGAGGGCCTGACAGGTTCGGTGTGGCAAACTGACATCAAGAGCAAACACAAAAACACAGCTATAAGTGATTTATTCATTGCACTATGGCTAAATCACTCATTTATTAATATTACAACTACTACTACAAAATTTTACCTACATATATTCTTTGATTTGCTCAAAGTGACTTTCGGTATTTTAATAACACCTCAGTCCAAGCTGAATCAGATGTGCTTGCTAGATTTAAGCACAGTTAACAGTAATGGGCCAAGCAACATAATCTTTTACAATTTCCATACTTACTGGTCTTTGAAGACCTCTGGGCTCGTAATTTTCCTTATTCTGTAAAGAAATAAATACAACTCACTAAAACAGTACATTTGACCTATTTTGTGCCCCCCTTGCTTTTAGCTTTATACTTATTTTAGACAACCAACAAAGGGAAGCAAGCAAGAGATTAAGGCACACTTTGTAACTCATAACCTAGGATGTTGTGTCAAGGCTCAGTGCTTTCCCTGTTTATCATTAATGGTGACTTTAACCAAGAGTTTGGAATTAACTCAATGTCTGAATAGATTACTTATAAAATATGGTCTGCAGTTCATCCAAGTCACAATTATAAACACATTCTGATTTCAATCATTAAGCACAACCAGATGTTCTTTTCATTTCTTAGCGTGCACACACACACACTGAGCTGTAGTGAATTTATGTAAATTGTAGAAACTTTCCTCATGTATAACTTATGATGCATGCACAATGACAAACATGAATGGTGGAGTATTTCTCCTTACCAAACTGTTTCAGTTCATCAGTATTTCTTGGAGATCTTTATTTAACAGCTCTCTTCACTTAATGCAACAGCATCTAAACTAGGTTCAGGTCGCCAATAATCTTTCTAGAGGCAAAACAGAATTTGTATGCTTTTACTTACTGGAAGGGCCACCTCTACAATCACTGTCACTTCCTGTTTTACGCCAAAATAGCACAGGGTGTAACACGTTCCTAAAGTTGGAGAGCCACCCTCCACTTCAAGTTAATACTTAGTGTGTAAAATAAAGTAATATAATGGAGAGCACACACGGCTATTACTGCGACCTAACCGATGGTTAGATTATTTCTAGATTCCATCCCCTCTCGTTTTTTTTTAAATTGTGCACACATCTAAAGCGTTTTCTAGTGCCAGAGACAGTAATATATTTGATTTCAGCTGGTTTTCATTATCATATACAAAACCGAGAAGGAAACACTGTCTGTGGGTGGCTGAATTACCCACCACAACTCTTTACCCGGTTTGAGAGGTAAAGACGCCTTGTTTTATCATGACTTGATCGCCACACTGACCTTAGATATGCTGGTTCAATGCCTTATATAGTGTTCATAAATTACACTTACTGGATTGAAGATCAACGAGTTAAACATTTAAATTAATCGTTAAACAAAGAAAAAGGTTTACCGGGCCTCTATCATTTAAAGTCAGCGTTCAAACAATTGCAGTACAAGTCACTGTACTGATCACCTTTAAGGAAAACATTAACTTAACTCGAAGTAGAAAACACTGCCTCGTTCATAGAATATACTACCTGTGATCTTTTTACCTCGAGTTAACGTTACACGTTAGTCTGCTAAGATAGCTTGCAAGCACAAGGTTAGCTAAATTAAGCTAAAATTTACGTCTACGTAAACATGATATACGGAGTTTAAATTGTTATCAACTGTTACTCGGTAACGCTTGGACATAAATGTATAAATATCGAATTACCTGCATCGTAGTGAAGGAAAAACAGTATTAAATTTACAGCGTGAAAACCTCAATCTTGTAACCCAGAACTTCCTCGGCCGCCAGCGTTTTCAAAAAGCTAATCTTCACGAACGTGATTGGTGAGCTTCGCACACTTAGAGAACAGTCATTGGATAAAAGCGCTGCAAGGGGCAGCGTGTCATTGGTGAGCGGTGGATGTGGTCCCGCCCACATGCTGTATATTGTTTTTAAAAAGCAGGAGTAACGTCCACGGTATGTGATGTATGTAGGCTGTATACAGCATTTATATCCTTTGTCTGCGTCCATAAAGGCCTAATTTTTCATTGGCTAAAATCTACAAAATTCAAGCACGTGACAGAAAACCAACAGTACCTGATACACCTGGTACGGTTTGAATGTATTTTACTTCATTTCTATGTTATGCTACTTTCAAATCTTACTTCACAAATGCAAATATTTTACTTTATACGTCATTTACTTTATACTTATTATTTCATACTGAAGATTTAATGCCTTCACGGTATGGTTCTAGTCTATATTGGCCCAAAAATTCCCTCATAAATAACTCCATACATTTTAACCATTTTTTTAAACCACTGATCTAATTATTATTATTATTAACCTTTATTTTACCAGGAAAAGTCCCATTGAGATTAAAAACCTCTTTTTCAAGGGAGTCCTGGCCAAGAGGCGACAACATGTTAAAATTACAAAGTTACATACATGTTATAAGTAACAATTACATTTTAAAAAACATTTTTCTCTGGTTCTCTCAATTAAAATGTATGCGGTAAATAGCCTACCTGACAATAATAATAAATGGTTGATTAGTCCTTAATAAAGAGTATGGGAAGTGTATTTTCAAATTTACAACATTTATTTTGCAGAAAATCATCGTACAGTAACACAACAGCCATAAAAGCTATTTTGATTTAGCTATACTTATTAATTTACTGAAAGTGAAAATGGCAAGAAATTTCAGTTGTTTAATAGTGTCCTCACTGCTATTGCAGACAATCCCTCATAACTATTATATATAATTAGCAACATTACTTCAACATTAATCGACACTTGGAGCACATAAAAAGCTAATTGCAAATAGTTTGTGCATTCAGGGCAGTGGTAGGAAACTTTGTATGTAGGACTTGAATGTTTTTCCCACTCACCTGTTCTGAAATGGGTAAAACAGGTGCACCATATATGATCACATCTATGCTGTTTTACTAACAGTACATGTTTAGTTTCAAGAGTCTCTAAAACCAATGTCTTCATTGATTTGACCTATTGACCTATGGTGGATCTAAAATGTATCCAAATAGCTGCGGCTCAAATTTGACCAGTAAGAGCCGTAATGTACAAAAATTCATAGCGCCCTTACAAGAGTATAACATTTTTAACCATTTTAATCTATGTGTATATTGGGTCACTTTCAATGTGAAATGTTCACACTGGACAAATTTGAACTCAACGGTATGTAGGTGTTAAATTCTTTGTTGTGTAGAATATAAAAAATTAAAACAATTTCCAGCTGCAAAATATACTGCATATCATATATAAATTCATGAATCCAAACTTTTAATCCCATAATTACTTTTAATTAAGATGCTTTTAATTTTGATTATATGGTTTGTGTACCATTAAGCTACTTGTGTAGGATTAATACTTACTAATTTAAATTCTTGTCTTTCCACTTTTCAAAAACCGTTACTGGCCATTCCAACACTCAAAACAAGAGAAATGACCCGTGACAATTTTCTGAAGCTGACAAGAAATCACCTATGTAAAAGAAGATAAAATGTAGTATTTGACCTTGAAAAATGATACGTGCAGTTTCATGACAAACTGATCAGTCATCTTTAAAGGTGCAGTCGACATACCGTATTTGTATTCAAGCACAAATTCTGGGTTTACTTCATCAAAATAGCTTTATTCAGAACAATTTGTTCTTCACAAGATGAACCTTCATTGAATGGTTGCTTTAAATGCAACACACTTCGGTATGATGACACAAATCTTCCATGTTTTTTCCTAAAATTGAGACAATATACACACATTCAGGATAAGCGGTTGCTTTTTGTTCTCAGTTTCTACAAAACACATATGCAACACCCAACAATATCCTGTGCATCACCCAACCAAACAGAGTAAAATATATGTTTTCTGACAGTATACGCTGTTGAGAAGTGGTAAAGAACAGGAAACAGGTGGATCATGACTTATTTGTCTTTGTAGCTTACACCTGCTTATCTGTTTACAGTCCAACAGCAACTGTTCTGCATTTTATTTCATACCGTTAGAGTTTCTAAGCACTAAAAAGGAGAGACTTCCCACTGACTTACCTCAAAGAAACTGAGTATTGTAGGAGATCATGACATATCCCTTAAGACAATATAATTTGTGTCTTTGACGACAGATGTTTTTTCTTAACTTTCATAATGTAGTAACCTCAGCTTATGAGGCAACCTTGCAAACTGACGAGAAAGATGTTTTTCATGATGTTTGCATCAATGTGATGAAGTAATCTGATTTGTCAACGACAGACAATTCAGTTTGGAAGTTTTATGCAACTGTTACCAATCAGATTTTTCAGAAAACACCATATCATAATATAGCTCTTACTTCTAAGTCAGTTTTAATCAAGACAAGTAACATTTTGAACATAATACTGTAAAAAGCTAAATAAAGGGCCAAAACATTTATTGTTGTTCTTGCACTGCTGAAAACTGCAATCCTCCTCTAAAGCACTCAAAGGTAATTCTGTCGAGGAAGTCATTTATTTTTATACATACTATTTTTTTTTTTATTTAATCGCTCAATAAACCCTTAATACATTTGAATACATTACTGTGTACAGCTATTCAGTTTTTGTTACTTCATTCTAAAAGCCTAAAAATACTATAAACATGGATCATTGTGAGCAGACTTTTAAAATTATTTTTTTATTTATTTATGGACTTATTGTGGCATTGTCAGAAAAAGTTGACAGAGCATTCTGAATCGGGTTCTACTTATATCAACATGATCTAAAAGCCTATGTAACAGTTTTTTGTTGTTATTGTTTTATTTATTTATTTTTAATCCCATGTGGGTTGCTTGTATATAGCAGCATATAGCTTCATTCAATCTTCATTATTCTGAACAGAGCAGTTGGTAAGCACCAGTGTGCAGGATGGCAGCAGGACAGCCAGTGTGCGACGCAGACCTGGAATAGGATCATTCATATCTGCCATCTTGTTCTCGTCGCTGCTGCCATCTGCACCTGCAGCTTCTTCTCTGTCCTGCTCTTCTTCCTCACCGCCCTCCCCCTCTTCTGCTGGTGGATTCTGACGAGGCTGGAACCTGACGTCCACAAACTCCAGCTGGCGAAGTCCACGGAGCATCCTGCAGCTCCGGGCTATCTGCAGCTCGCTGAGTGTGCAGTCCCACAGGCGCAGACGTTTCAGGTCTTTCAAGCGGCTGGCGCAGAGCAAACCTGGACCCACCTCTTTTCCACCAAGACTTAGCTCCTCCAGCCCAAGCCAGCCAGCCCCCAAGCCAAGGGAGGCCATATGTAACTGGTAGCCCTGCCGCCCTGTAATGCCTATTTCCAGAAACTTGAGCCTGGAAAGCCCTTCTACACCACAGACACCATCTTTGGCAGCACAGCTTCTAAGCCCATTAGCTGTTACACGAAAGGTGTCACGTAGCTCTAGATGACAGAGCCTCTCCCATGATGTCAGACCCTGCAGGTGCTGGTCTGTAAAAGAGGGCACATTGTTAAGGACTAACCTCTCAATACCAATCCCTGAAGGAGAGCCAGCCCCTTTTCCTTTCTGGTTCCTTCCTTTCAGTTGAGCACCAACACTGGATGTGGGTTCTGCTCTTTCTTGGGGACTAGCTGATGGCAGGGTCTGATTGAAGAAGCCACGAGGCAGCTCACAACCCCGCAGCTCCAGCACCTGCAAAGATGGAGGTAGGATCTGGCAACTGGGCAGGCTTCTCAGGTCTGCATGCAGAAGATAGAGCTTACTCAGTCGAGGGCATTTTGTGGACAAAGCTTTAAGCCAAGACTCAGAGAGAAAGGTTCCGCCACGTGCGGACAGCAGCAAACCACGCAAGCGAAGGCACCTTAGTCCGCAACCCAGGTACTGACGCAGCAGGACCCAAAGGATGCGGGATGTCACCTAACACACAGTGGACAGTCCATGAATATGTGTGTGTTGAGAGAGAGAAACAATAACAGTCAATAACTGCACAAACACACAACCCATGTGTTATTAAATGATGCTCATTGTTTATTTTTAGAGCATATTTTACACACAAAAGCATTTCAAAATGCTTTACAAGGGGCTTTAAAAAGCAATACACAATTTTATTTACTATCAAAGAAACTAAAATACACATACAATAGAAAAACACATACCAGCCAAGAGAAAATATTAGTGGATGGCTGTTAAGAATGACTAGTAACAGCTCAGAAACTGCCAATAGATGGCCTAAGACTCAAATCAGCAACTAGGTTGTTGAAACAAAGATATGTCAAAACTGGCTTTGGGATGGATAAACCAGGCTAAGCTCCTGGAATGGCTTTCCCAAAGCTCCAACGTCAATTGTACTGAAAACTTGTAGACTATGTTTAAAAGCTGGCTCCATGCCTGGAAACCAACCAATTTAACTAAACTCAACCAATTCTGCAAAGAAGAGTGGTTAAATACCCAGCTACTGTTGCACCAAAAGCTTGTTGATGGCTACCGAAAGTGTTTAACTGAAGTGCAACCAATATTTATATTAACCAAATATTAGTTGGGGTTGTATGTGTGGATTTGATTCAAACTTGTGCATCTACTTTTTCCTCTTTAAAGCCATTAAAGCTGTGTTCTGTACTATTCTATTCCACCCTGGACAAAGAACAGTTCAAAGAAATTATGAAAAGCCCCAAATTCCTATGTAAAGAGCTTAGAAAGAAAAATGGCTGGACTTCTTTAAGTTTCTTCAAGACATTTCACCTCTCACCCCAGAAGCTTCTTCAGTTCTAAGACCAAATGGTGGAAAGCCCCAGGTATTTCAGCTCTAGTGGGAGTTGTCCCTTAAGAGGGTCGTTTGGTCTTAGAACTGAGAGGTGAAATGTCTTCAAGAAACTTAAAGCAGTCCAGTCGTTTTTCTTTCCAAGCGCCTTGGATTACCATGACCTGGATGACTGAGAACCTACACAGACCCAAATTCCTGTGGCATTCATGCCCATGATGCATCTATAAATATCTCAGGACAACTGTATAAGTGGGCCCGTTTTGAGACAGGAAAATCACGGTGTTGTATTTTTATTTGATGATACAGTTAAAACCAGTGCTTTAATGTGAGAGGATAAATTAAAACATGAGTCAACAGCTCCCAGTCGTTCATCTTTATCAAAAAAAAAGTTATCGCTATGGGTTTGTTTCTATTATTATCCCCAAGTAACAGACTAGATTACTAAAATGCCTGGCCTGCATTAACAGAAGAAACGAAAAATGATGAAGCCACACTGGCAACAGCATCCTTACCCCTTTCCATGAAGTCAGGTCGACATTTCTCCACAGTCTTTGGTCTTTAACAAGGCGTTTCCACCTCTTACATACCCTAAAACCACAATTTAAAATATATAAACATATACACAAATCACATAACAAAAGACAAAACAAACGAAAACCTGAGTTTTGTTTTAAACGACGATTAACTAGTAAATCATTGAGAGCAAAGTTGAAATCCCCTTACCTCCCGGCTTTGACGACCTCTCGTACGTTCAGGTAGGACAAGACATCGATTAAAATGTTTTCGGGAAAGTAGTCCAGATTGCAGCCCCTAAATTCTTCCATTTTGTAAACAAAACTCTCAAACCTCACACACGGAATGGTACATGAACGCACACGGGTTGCGCCCGAATCAGCAATCCCCCGGAAACACCGGTCCACTGACTATGTGACCGAGCGGCCGCTGGGCAGTTAAATCAAATCAGCGGCTTTAAGCTCAACACAACGTTCCCCGACCCAAAGAGCCTATGTTTCTATAAACTCCCATCAGGTTTATGACCGTGAATATGCGGCATGGTTTGTTTTAAAAAAGAGCCCCGCGAAGAGCCACTTAACGTCCTTTGCATCAACAGTCCACTGCGCCTGCGCGGATTACCGGACAAGATGGCGACCAGCAATGGTGGAGGAATGGAAGTGGATGGGGCAGGCGAGTATTTATCCCTCATCTCATCGTTTCTGTCCACACCAACCAAAACCTGCGCGCAGGTTGCCGTATATGTTGTTTTGTGTGTTATAAGTGAGCGGAAGTGGCGACTCCGTGGTGTTAAAGGGTCGTAAGGAGCTTGCTCGCTGACATAGCAGGTTAACGTACTCAGCTCTGTGAAGCTGTCAGTACATTCATCACTGTGTGGATATTTCAGGCAGTTCCCTCTGCTTTGCCACAGGAGTTTGCATCAGAAATTTGAAGTAAAAGCTAACATCATGTGCAGTTGATTAAAATGCTGTGGCAGTGCTGCAACACCAAACACGTCAACATTAGCTATACATGACAGAAACCGACATGCAGGCCTATATCTGTGTGAATAGTTACATATACATTAAAATGACTGTATGTAGCGAGCATAGGGCGACCGCTCAGAGTCGCGTTTTATTAACTTTATAAACTGTCATTGGGCACCTCGCTGACTCATCTACCTGTCCAGGTGTCCTGTTGGGAAACTGTGGAACTCGTTTTATGATTGTATATGCTATTTAACCTTTTAGGAACGATCCTGAGAATGATCGTTTGTGCCAAACTAAACAGATGATTAATGCCAAAAGGATATATCCAGTCACTTATTTTGAATGGAAAGAAAACTGTGTACTGTTGCTTGGCTCTGGAGCTCAGTGACATAGATTATTGTCATCAGCTACAATCCGAGTGTAAATAATCTCTCTTATTATTTTGTCTGTTATGCATTGGTCATACGTTATTGATTGTTTTGGGTCCATACTGATTTACCGCTATTGATGTGTCTCTGCTTATTTTCTTGTGTTCCACATATACATGCAGTTTGATTAGACGTATACCGAAACAGGGCTGATCCATTGTTGATTAACTTTCCAGTTAATGTGATTGGACCATATTAATCACTTTTGGTTCATCACTGTTGCTTTTTTCCTAATTTTCCAGTAATTATTTGGATTTGAAGAAGTATTTCCGTTTGTACCTGGGTCACTGTTGCCCTTTTGCACAACTATCTCAGATTTGCCTAAAAAGGCTATGGTCCACAGATTGGATACATATATATTGGTTGCTGTGAATTTGTAGCTTCATATATCAAACATTTTTCAAGATGTATTCTTTTCAAAAATGGTCCATCGACACATTTTCATTGATGTCATACGAAGGTAAAATTTTACAGTTTGTGACGATAAAATTCTGTGATGGTTGATTTGAGATGGAAACTCTTTGTCTGGCTTTCCGGTAATTGTTTGAATTTGACAAAGTGCTTCCAGTTAACAAGTTTTTTGACTTTTTTATATATTGTCATTGACATACTGTTAATCCCAATCATGTTTGTGTCTTTGTGTGATTGTAGCCAGCCCCAGTGTTATGGCCTCAGGGGTCACTGGGAGTGTTTCTGTGGCCTTACACCCTCTGGTTATCCTAAACATATCCGATCACTGGATACGCATCCGCTCGCAGGAGGGCCGACCGATGCAGGGTATGTGTGAAAAAACAACACATTATCCTATCACATATATATTGGGCTTATGGAATAAAAGTCTAAGTTAAAGATAAACATATGCTGTTGTGTTTGTCTCTGCTCAGTGATAGGAGCTCTGATTGGGAAACAGGAGGGTCGAAACATCGAGGTGATGAACTCCTTTGAGCTGCTGTCTCACACCATAGACGACAAAGTGCACATTGACAAGGAGTACTACTACACCAAGGAGGAACAGTGTAAGCTTTGTTCAAGTGTTAAGGACAATAATGCACATATTTGTGTGTGCATCTTCTTTGATGACTCAGTTGTTCGGTAGCTGGAGTTGTGCTAAAATTAGTAACACTGGCGTAATCATCATTCAGGAAAATCAGTTCACACGTCAGTTTGTCGTGATTTGTTTTTCTAGACTTAGACTCTAGTTTTGTCCTTGCCTCCTTTATTAAATTGAGACATTTTCTATCTGTGTTCTGACCTTCCCACACGAAGAACAATAAACAGTACAACAATTGATAAGTCTTGAACGCCAGAATGGGACTCTGTAGTTTTGGAGTTTCAGTTCCCAAAGAGTACAGATACATTGTTAATATGTTTGGATGTGCAAGGAGTAAAACACGTGAAGGGAGATTCCTGACACTTGACCAAAAGATGGCAGCATTGGATCCAGTTGTTGAGCCATAAGTAAATGATTTACACACAAGTCTTTTGGTCAAAATGACATAAAAACTACCAAAACTCTCGATCTCTGCCTCTTGCTTTGGATTTTGTAATTTTTTTTTTCAAGTCAGTTCCTGTTAATTTCCAGAAAATCAGAACAGTGATTATAACAAAAACACAACTCTTTATGAAGTTGACTCACAGTCGTGGAGACATCCTGAGCCTCTGTAAGCATTTGCAACAAAGCCTCATCAAGCAGGGTTTTTTTTTATTTGTATTTTTTAACACATTTTATTAAAATGACAAAGACTTAAACCTGTAGGTTGTTTCGTAAGTTCACTATATTGTTTAGTTAACTGCTGTAACCTTGAAACAAGCGGAGCATGAGAAAAAAAAAAATCTCTTCAGTTTTCATGTCACTGTGAGAGAGTTCGTTGATGACTATGTTCTCCAAGCCCCTCTCAGATATTTATCAGTAAGTCAAATCATCAGATCATTTTGTTTTTACATTTGTCCTCTGGTCTCTCAGTCAAACAGGTCTTCAAAGACATGGAGTTTCTGGGCTGGTACACCACAGGTGGTCCTCCAGACCAGTCAGATATCCACATTCACAAGCAGGTAGGCAGACACTGAAGCCCACTGACAGGTGGCAGGATGTCGATGTTTTGACACGTGTACTGTGACCATGAATGTTTCAGAAGCAAAATGTATCACTTTTAAGCTTTTAAATATCTTAAAACCCCATACACACCTGCTCCACTTGTGTTGCACGTTAACACATGCCTTTATACTGCTATAGAGTCTACACACAAGTACATGATGCTGGATATTTCAGATCGTTTGCTTTTACCCTCATTTCTCTACTTCCTGGCAGGTGTGCGAGATCATTGAGAGCCCTCTTTTCCTGAAGCTTAACCCAATGACCAAACACACGGACGTGAGTTCATTTGCATTGTTTCAGCAACGATGTCACTGGTACAAACACAAACGCCTCTGCTCTAAACAGTGTTCTTTTGTCCCACAGCTTCCTGTTAGTGTTTATGAATCTGTCATTGACATCATCAGTGGCGAGGTATAGTTTACTTCCACTTTTATCTAGTGCACGTCTAATCTTGATTGCCACAGATGCTTCAGTTTCATCTGATATGTATTGTTTTTGTTTGTTTGTTTGTTTTCAGGCCACCATGTTATTTGCTGAGCTGACGTACACTCTGGCCACAGAGGAAGCGGAGAGAATTGGCGTTGACCACGTAGCTCGTATGACGGCCACCGGCACTGGAGAAAACTCAACAGGCAAGACAAGCTGTTGCCTTAAGAATTACTTGTACTGTACATGTTCTACTAGCTACACACTGATCATAGTCATGAATTGTTGCCAATTAAGCATTCTTTATTTAACAATAAGCCACAAAAGGTGGTAAATCAGAGCTTTTCTCCAGCTTCAAATCCAAAGGAAATGGCTTTTGTAGCTTTGTTGAGTTTCTAGGCTTAGAAACAGTTAGAGGCGCTGTTGTCAAAGATTAAAGGCAGACTTGACTACTTTTTATGAAAATGTGTTTCCTTTAAAAAATGCAATATACAAATGATTTGTGATACGAGGTATGACTAAAAAAAATACAACAACAGCAAAAACACCTTCTACAATTTCAGTTTGGCCGTTCTCTAGTTTTGTCTTTCTGCACTCATGCCTCTGTGATGCATACTAGAGCTTCTCAAGTGTTAAAGTCATGTTAGGAAGGGGGCAAAGTCAAAAAAGAGGTGAACCTAGCCCCTGGGCTGCCACATGCATGGTGGCAGGATCCACGGATTAGATGCTTTCAGCTGAATTTTCTCCCTCAGGGTTTTACAGTAGCTCTCCAAACTTTCTGCCTCACACTGGGGGGAAATTTTTACATTGTACAACCATGTAAACCCAGAAATAAATGATTTAAATGAGGTGTAACAAGCTGTCAGTTAGGGCATGGTGTCACATGGTGTCTCCTCCATCAGTCAGCTGTCCTGTGACCTGCGTCTTATTGGTCACCATCAAAATGAATCGGGGTTTAACTGTGTTGTTTGGTGTCTTTCTTCTGTGTTAGTTGCTGAACACCTTATAGCCCAGCACAGTGCGATAAAGATGCTCCACAGCCGAGTGAAGATCATTCTAGAGTACGTCAAAGCCGTGGAAGCAGGTGAGAGGATGAGGGGGTCGTTTAATGACTGAGTGAGAGCGAAGAATGTGAAAATAAATCTGAAAAGCAGATGTTTTTAAATGAGATGTTTCCTCTCCTTCATTTTTTTTTAAAGGAGGCCCCTCAAACATGCCCCTCTGTAATTACAAGCTTCTGTTTGACAGTTTCTTGACAAACTCAACATTTTCCAGCGTGCTGTTTATTTGTTTCTCACAGGCGAGGTGCCATTTAATCATGAGATCCTTCGAGAAGCAAACGCCCTGTGCCACAGACTGCCAGTCCTCAGCACCATAAAATTCAAAACTGACTTCTATGATGTAAGTAATCTTTGTTGCTCCTTCACACACACACAGATGGACCAAGGCAGGTCAAAATCCCGGGAAAAATGAGAAAAGGAATAATCTAACTTGCCTCTCTTTGGTAACAGTTTTTAAATATAGCTAATATTTAGCAGCATTGTAACAGTTAACAGGCAGGGAAACACGCGATTCAGGGATCAGTGTATTCAAATGTGATGTGTTTACTTGTAATTATAAAGATGGAACTACAGTGTTTCAGTGGACAGTTTATAGCCAAATAAATTTTCGTTGCGTATCGAGACACATAAAATGCTCAAAGTACTTTTCAAGCATTTGCTGTAGTTGGTAAAGATGTAAAGACAAATGCGTCAGTTTATAAACTGACCCCATTGCTGCACCGGCCACATAAAGCATGTGGATCATTTTTGATGAGATGGAAAATAAATGAAAAGCATCTCCTAAGTCGTGCAACTGTATTGCAAAAAGTCACCAATCTTCAGTTTGATAAGTTCTATGCAAGACGCGTGAAGTCATTTTAGGTATTTTTCCATTGTTTTTTTTTTTTTATAATCTGCCAGTGTACAAGAAATTAACGGAGCAGTGGGATGTATTTTTACAGCTGGTGATTATTTAGTCACTTTTACACAGTGTACTCCACTCTCTATTTGTTTACTTTTACCCACATTACATAAATCTTTCCCAGTGTTCCCAAGTACTGGGTCCAAAAACAGAAGACAAACACAATCCTAAAATCAAAGCTCACATCTCATTTTATCAAAGTGTAGCTGCACCCTTTTTGCTGCACATTTTGCTGTCATCGACATCGAATACTACAATAATAAAATGAAAGCAGCAATAAAAGATGGTCAGTTAGATAAGATAAGAAGTCTGAGTCACAAGGAAAAATTAATTTATGATTAAATATCTCTTGTTGTGATGATGTTACTGTTCATTGTGCTGTAAAAGTGAGAACTCCCTGACGCCGTTCTTCTGTTTACCCTGCAGCAATGTAATGACGTCGGCCTCATGGCCTACTTAGGCACTATCACCAAGACTTGCAACAGTATGAATCAGTTCATCAACAAGTTCAACGTCCTGTACGACAGACAGGGCATCGGCCGGAGGATGAGAGGACTCTTCTTTTGAGCAAAGCAGAGAATCAAAACGAGCACCGCAGTTTATTATTCTCTGTTCTGTCTTTTTCTTTTCTTTGTTTTTTTTTTTTGTCTGTTTCTACTTTGATTAGCTAAAAAGCAGTTCTTAAACCAACCGTAGCTTTTCAGAGCAGTTAAAAAATTCCAACCACAAGTGTATCTAAAAGCACCGATCATTAAAAGCTATGTACAAAGTCACTCATCTGTTTGGTGGGTCTGCACAGCAATGAGTCCACTGTACATGAACGTTCTGTTATTTTACCCAGTTTGTTTTACTGTTTCATGTTCCTGTATGTAATAAATGATCTGCTGATTTTTCGTTTTTTTCCCCATGAGACTTTGAATCTTCTGTCAACGAAGCACATTAAAAAAGTCAGAGCTGCACTTTTAAATGAGCACATGAAAGTCTGCTACGTGGAGCTCGCCTAGCTGGAGGTTTATTGGCAGTAGCAGCACGTTTGCAGATCACCCACTGAAGTTGTGTTCCTGCTGTTTGATTGCCCTTATAGGTTTTGGACAGAGAGGCAGGAAAAAGACTGCAGGGTGACTTATTGCTCCAGAGTGTATGGAAAATAACAGGAGTCAGCATTTATTTGGCTATTAAATGTACAGCAGAACAGACATAATGGCCTCCCAGCATGCACGCTGGTACTTCACAAGTGATTTTTACCTGCCATGTGGCGATGGGTGGAGCAAAGCTTTCCTTTTGAGGCTACTTTGCACCTTTCAAAAAGGATATTCCAACTCAAAATGCTACTCGCTGGTGAAAAACTGATTTGTTGCAATTTATTCTTCTCAAAAAGAAAATTGGTTTTTCACATACTGGCAGTTACACATTGAGCCATCGATGTAATTACACTGCATCTAAAAATGCGCTAAGACATTGGTTTTATTGACATTACATATAAAAGATGTGAAAGTGTGCAACTTGGATGTTTTCATAGTCTGTTTTGCTCCCTCTGGATGTTTTACTGGCTCTCCTCTGCAGGCTCATCAGCAGCATCAGCAGGCCGTGGGTACTGGAAGCGGGCTGGATCGTACAGATCATCCCTGGGGTTGTAGGGTAGAGGGTGCTGGTAGTAGTAAGGGTGAGGGTAGTAGGTTACTTTCTTAATGGGTGCAGGAGGTGCTGGCTCCTCCACATGTTCCTCCTCTTCTTCCTCCTCGACCGGAGGGGGTGGCGGGACCACAACCTTTCCTTTGATGGGCCTGGGTGGGTTGTCAATCAGGCAGTCGGGATCCCAGTAGGGGTCACAATCGTACTCCATGCCCTTAAAGGTGCGGATGTGAGCTGGGGGAGACTTCTTGACAAAGACTGGGGGAGCTGGAGGTGGGCCAGATTTCTTAGGAGGAGGTGGTTGAGGCACTGCCACGGGAGCTGGTGCAACCTTCTGGGGAGTGCAGTGGGGGTGGTACCGAGGGTCACAGAGCACAGGTACTGCACCTGTGGGCATGTAGACAATGTGAGGCTTGCAGAGGGGGTCCTTTTGGTTACACAGGTAGAGCACATCGGCCTGTGAAATGGCTGGAGCAATAGGAAGAGCAGGAGGCTCTGTGGGTCTTGGGACCCCTTTCATTGGCGGTGGAGGAGGAGGAGGAGCAACAACTTTGCACTTCTTGTCTGTGGCTGGGTCACACATGATCATAGGCACTCCCAGTTTGCTCTGGAAATAGGAAGCATCAGGGCCGTAGGTGTGCTCCAGGTACCTCATCTGCTGGTAGAGCATTCGCAGCTTGTCGATCTCATAGAGCTGAGAGGCGGAAAAAGAGTAAAGGAAAGACAAACTCAGGTTTATTTATGTAGAATCAAACTGCAAAAAAAAAAAAGCTGCCACAAGTAGATTTATAATCTTCAGTTGGTTAAGAAAGAAACCCTGAGACACATTTAAAATCTGAAATCCTTCATGATTATATGTGTTTTTAAATTAAAAAGCTCAGTTGTAATCGCACTTCTCGACTAAGCCGAGAGGTGATGTGTTTTGAATCCCAAAATCCCGACCCTCTGAGATCAAAATGAAAAATCTTTTTTCTTCCTGCTTTTTTTTTTAAACTATGAAGGTTTAGATTTAAAATCTTCCACATCCAGATACAACATGTTGGTGCTGATTTTAAACAACCAGAACCTGGACTGAATTCAAAATTTAACATCCTTATTAGCTAAAATCTTACATTTGCTGGTCTGCAAAGGTGACTTGTCACAGTTTTCTGTTACTACAAAGAATGTTTAAAATAAAGAACACCTACAGTGACACATTCTGAGGTGCTTATATAGACGGTGAATATTTGGGCTACCCCAGGAAGCCCAAAGTGTTTCTTACCCCCTCAGTGTGTCCGATGCTGCTGTAGTATTTGTAGTAAGCCTGGAAGTCTGGGTTTCCTCTGTACCACCGAGGGTCCGCATTACGCTTTGGTCTGGAGTGAGTCAGAAAATCATTTGCTTTCTCTGCATCAATGCTAACATCGCCTACAGGGACCATCTCTGTAAAAAGAGGAGATGAAGCTGAGTCTTTCAAAAACAGTTGGAAAAACAGCACCGCTGCATAAAGCCTCAGAAAATTGTTCTTTTTTAACTTACGTTCCTGCTTTATGACATTCAACAAAGATTTGGCCTCCAGCAGGCCTGAAAGAGGATGAAAAATAATTTGTGGATGTTGATGTTGATTGTTTTTGAGAGGTGAACCTGTGACATTGTGAAGTAAAAGAAGCAGAGCAGACCTGGGAGAAACACAAGACAGAAGAGTGCCCCCACCAAGCACGATGAAGAAATCATCTTGAACCTCTGTGATCATGAAGAAAAGGAAATGATCATTTTGAGGAAAACTGTTAGTTCGTACAAAATAACTCTGAATCAATTACATTTCACATCTACACATTTAACAAAGGTATGTGTCTAATACCAAAATTCAATTGTAAGACATAAAAATATGTCTTCAGGTAAAACTGTTCTGCAATCTGATGCTCTAAATGCAAAGATTAATATAGACTGTAGAATATAAATGTGGCTTGCAATTAATAACTTTATTAATTCAAATTATATTTTTGCTTCTTATTGCACGACCCAATATTGTAAAGAAAACACATCTGCCCGTTTTACTCACCTGACTCGGGAGGCAGTCTTCGCTGGTCTGAACAAGGCTGAGTGGGTTAAATACACATCTCTGCGTCGGTTACCCTGTAACATTATCTTCTATCCAATCGGACTCTACCGACTTTGAGACCGAAATCTTGTCTCCACCTTCCTTTTAATACACTTTAATGTGGGGCCTTTGGCGCCAATTAAGAACAGAAAGCCTCAGGACCTTTGCAGCAAAGCCATAAAACAAAACAGACTTCAAATGGAAACTCCCCATTAAGTGTGGAAGTGAAGCATCACCTGCTGGGGCAACTGCAACCGTAGTGAAAATGCTGCCTACTAACACAATATCCATGCCAGAAAAGCTTACAAAAAACATAGATGACAACCCATGTTGCCTTAAACATACATTCATAATGAGACTTCACAGATTTCTGAAACACCACCGGTTTCTAAAGGTTGTTATTTTTACACAGTGAACACCTGCTTTTTGAACACAGGACAGCTATCTACAGAAAAAGCTGCCTTTGTCTCGGCATGTTCAATACTCAGACTGCATTCTTACTGAAGGCCGTCATACTAAACATACATGCAATAACACACACTGGTCAGTTTAATGTTATTCTCCCACATTCCCCAATCATAACGATGTCAAATGTGATAAATAGATTGTGAATAATGTCCATGATGAAAATATAATTTCCAAGTTTACATTGTTTTAGCTTCTTGCTGTATTAGATGCAATTATTTAGATACATGTCATCAGTAGACCAAAACATTTAGGTGACACATGATTACTAGTTACTCTACCGAGACAGTGCATACAATGTGTTAGTGGGTTACAGGATCATTCATCATACAGCTGGAAGCTTGCGGTTTTGAAAGCTAGATTTGGCAGCATTAAACATTTGTTGCCTTTTCTGAATATCCAAGCCTTTTGAAATCTTTGGTTCAGTGACTCACAAACCCAAAGTCGTGCGGGTTTTGGCTTTCAACATGAAAATTGTGACTTGCAGACCTGTATGTTTTGTGGGCAGGCGTTACTCAAAGGATTAGCGAGGCGTCCCCACTGTGAAACCAGGTGTTCATACACATTTCTTCATCCCACATTATGTGCACAGAAGACTCGGCACCAGGCAGAGTATTGAACCATCATTTTATTTTAACTCTCACAATACAAGGCTCAATATAAATTTGTCTGATTTGCATCATCAAGTATAAAATGTACAGAAATGCTCAATGTTAAACGGATGCTTGCAGCCAAACCACAGGAAATACTTCACAATACTAACTTCTGACGTACATATTTACAAGCAAGGTACTGTTAACAGGATTCTTCGGGAGTTCTGGGTTTCCATTAGCTGGAATTCTCGCAATAATAGTCATATTTAAAAAGAATCTTCCATCTGCTGGACTTACAAAATGCTTAACCTCATTACAAGTCTGTAGAAAACCCACAACAAAGAGTCCCCCACCCTCCCTCAGGTGACTGAAACAAAATGTGCGTGAAGGCGTGTCCCGGGTTGTTCAGACGAAAGTGATGCGCGTGCGGGCCTGGTTGACCTGCCACACGTTCAGCTCTTCGTACTCCTCCAAGGCCTCCTGGAACTGGGCGGGCGTGAAGCCACGAGAGACGCAACGTTGCTCTGCTTCAGCCATGCGAACCAACCCACCGGCTCCACGGCCCTCTGCGGCGAGCTCGCGCACCAGAGAGAAGATGACGTCGGCCGGTCGCTGCGTCCTGCAGATGAGAAAGCAGATATTAAAAAAAAAAAGTTAACTTTAAAGCCTCAAGGAATTTTGAATAAACCTACTCAGAAATGGCACAAAGTAAGGCATGTAAACATACTACATGTACACGTACGAATGCACAAACTACATTTCCTGCTCGTTTTGAACAAGCTGTCGTGTGAACAGAGCTCCATAAAAATCAAGCAAGTTTTACAGCTTCCTTCAGGACATGCAAGAAACTCATAAAACAGCTCTGAATCAGATGACATCCAGTCATGTTAGTCTGAGCTCACTGAAAGCCATATTTAAAAAACAGGCCTGGTTTTTAGCTCTAACCTTGTGGTGCTGGATTTGTCAGCCTGTAATGAATCCTTGGACATCTCCATCAGCCTCATGGCCTCGTTTACATCTTCCTTCTCTACGGTGTCCATCATGCGAAGCCGAGCCTGAAGTAGGGAGTTAAAGGTGAAGATAATGCTAAGACTGTAGTTTGAGTGAATGCACAAATAAGAGTTAAAAATAATCCTACAATATCCATCTCAATTTAGGCTGCGCTGTGCCGGCACTGTCAGACCGAGACAAGTGCAATGCCCTCTGGGATGCCCGGCAATTGCCCAAGTCTCCGCCTCTCAACACCAGCTAGTCTCTCTATAGCATGAAATCAAAACAGCACACAAAAGATCCCATCTGAATACTGTTATGATCAATTTGGGATTTTTGTAGAATACACTGATGACAGTCCTGGCCATGGTCAGTTTTGCATGGGTTTGCACAGCTGGTCCTTATGCACACAGGCTGACTGCCCACCCTGCAAAGCTGGCCAGGATCAGCAAAGACATTAAAGCAGCTCCCTCGTGGTCATGAAGAGGAAAATACCAAATGAGTCATCTGAAAACACACAAATAAGCTGATGTGCAGCTGTGGCACCAATACTGCTTGTGGCTGTGTTTTGCCCCCTTGTGGACATCTGTGTGCAGCATATTGCCTACCTGTTAACCTGAAGTGCTGGTTTTGCAGTAGGTGGATGACCGCTACCTGCACAAACAGCACTTTTGACAACCAGAGGCAGAGATGATACAAGACAGACTTAATTCAAGCTTTTTTAATAATATTCATGTTGTGAGTGGGTGTAGCATTTTTGCTACTGGGACTGGTTTTGGCAGTCAGAGATTTTTGTCCAGCGTGGGAAAGAAGTGCTCACAATGCAGTAGGCCAGATTATCATCACTACCTGCACTGTAAGCACTTTATCCCACACTGGACGATCGATCAAGACAATTTAATTCCATTCAAAGCTCCACAAAAGTTGTGCAACCGAACCCCATACGACACTTGTCTGCAAATGTAAGTTCCACTGAAGTTTGATGAAAAACAATTGTAACCCTGTTTCACTTCTTAAAACAAATGTCTGACAAAATTATAACCCTCCTGCAGGAGTTCAATCAGTGAGATTGGCCTCTAAATGTTTCCAGCCACCCACTACTACTCAAGTGGATGTGGAATTCTTACCAGTGCAGTGGAGAGGCGCAGGATGGAGAGGAGCGTACGAGCAGAGGTGAAGGTGGTGTCTTTGCTGACCCGAGCCTCTTTTCTCATTTCCACGTAAGCAGCAGTGATGTAATCGGCCAGTGACTCGGGCACCACAGGCTGCCGCTTCTTGCACAGAGATATATAACGCCTGATGGAAATTACATTTGTCATTAGTTAATATTGCCTATTACACAGACCTATTTGAAGTAAATTATCTGAGCTACAACAATAACCTTCATGTGTTCATTTTTAAACATGCAAATTCTCACCTCATCAGTTTCATGTCAATAGGGGTGAAGTGTGAGGGCGGTTGGCGGGAGTGCTGGTGCACGTAGGTGATGTGCTGGGCCAGACGCAGGTCAGCATCAGCATCTGGTTTGTCCTGGATGAGCCACAGCAAGTCGAAACGGGAGAGCAAAGCAGCTGGCAGCTGAATGTTCTGCTCGATGCTCTTCCGGGGATTGTAGCGGCCATAGGCGGGGTTAGCTGCTGCTAGAATAGAGCAACGGGCGTTGAGGGAGGTCATGATGCCAGCCTGGAAGGGAGATTAAATCAACTTGAGTGTGGATGTTAAACAGGCATTGAATGTTTCCAGATACTTCCCCTAATACTCTTCTTTCTCCCCCCCCCCCCGAGTACTGGCAGTAATTAAGGATACCTTAGCAATGGAGATGGTCTGTTGTTCCATGACTTCATGGATGGCGGTTCGATCTGCATCCGCCATCTTATCAAACTCATCAATGCAGCAGATGCCCAGGTCAGCCAGAACTAAGGCTCCTCCTTCTAGAGTCATCTCACCGGTTAGGGGGTCACGCATCACTGCCGCAGTCAGACCGACCCCAGATGAACCACGACCTGTTGTGTACTGGCCTGAACAGCAGACAGGGAACAAGAAAAAGCTACAATTAGCTGTTGATCAAACGGTTAATACTTCAAGCTTCACTCAGAATAAAACTTCCAATTATATGACAGGCTGTTGGCATTCAAAACTTTGCATTAAAACAAAAAGCGAGTGCTCTAATCAAACTATCCCACCAGAAGTTAAGCCGTCACAGTGTAGGACCTAATGGAAAGTAAACGCCATACTAGATAAAGCATTAAACCAGATAGGGGACAACAAACAGGACTCACTTCGAGGAGCCAGACGATCAATGTAGGACAGCAGCTGGGACTTGGCGACTCCTGGATCTCCCATCAGGCAGATATTAATGTTGCCTTGAGGAAGAAGAGACAACGGAGTAAGAGCACTGCAGTGATTACAACATTTAATGAGGAA